TCATCTAAAACCATTTATAAAAGTAATAACAAAAATTAACTGTTTATTTAAAAAAAATATATATATTAAATTATTAATTTCAAGTTTCTTTTAACTTATGAAAATTGTTTAATCATATCATCATCTGTTGAGACCATAATCTTCAATGAAGATATTCTATAATAATTATTTATAGGTGTATCATAATATTCGTTTTAGAAAAATAAATATATTAGTCCCAAGAAGGGKGCGGGGGAGCTAATGGCTCCATAGCTCCTTCTTTAAACCCGCTATAACTGTTCTGTATCTCATATTGATTGAGAATATTTTATTGACAGCACATATTCAAAATGTGCCAGTCAAGTTCGAGATCTTGGTATTATCCTGTCRGCCAATTAATAATTTAAATATTGATGTTTATTTTGTTCTCAGTTATTTCAATATTTATCTTCTTCATGTGTTAATTTAATGATAATTTTAGTCTCCCAATACTATACTCTTTGAGGTGTTATTTATTTATTTTATAATTTCAAATTAATTAATATCTAATTATATTTAAACACTTTACCTATGTATTTATTAAATGTCAAAACAAAATTATAGATTATAGAAAATGCAGAGATACAACAACTGTGTAATCAATAATATAATATTTATTTTGATTTTATAAAATAGGATATATTTTTTAATAACTAATGTAATCTAAATAAATAGAAAAATTGCATTTGAGGTTTCAGAATTTGTACGATCTGTAAAACAAAATAAAACAAATATTAAAAATGTAATTACTACACTATAGTGCGACCAAGTCAATAATATCCCCAGTTTTAGATTGCTAAATTTTCAATTTCATAACTTGGTTGCACTATAAATAGTGAAAAATTTGATAAATTAAAAGTTTAAAAATGATTTGTAAAGTACCTTTTATATATAAGGTATAAATGTATCTATAACTCAAAAATAGCAGAATTTCATTTTATATTATAATTAAATACTGTTATACTTCATATATATGTATATATATTGTATTTGGTATTAAAAAAAATGTATGGACGTATGGTATATTATTTCATGACTATTATTTACAATGTCTAATGAATATCAGAGAATAAAAACCATTATATCATACAATTACAAGTTTTAAATAGGAAATTGAATATATTAAAAAATGTCATTAATATTGACACGAATAAACAAAATACTTCATTTTAGGTTAGATAGGACTATTGTCCTGTACATGTGTATAAGCCAACCATTGTTTTAATATTGAATATACGGCTGAGTCTTGATAAATGGATTTCTTCCCCCCCCCCTAGAATTTAATCTATTTATCAAGATTAAATTTGAGTCATTGTGACATGACTGTATTATTTACTTTAAAAACCTAATTTTTTCATAAAAATATTTAATATTACATTTATATGTTTTTTTTWAAGTATTCTTTGCCCCAATAAATTAAAAACAAAAAACTTCAATGTCATAAAATCAACAAAATTAAATTTAACTAACTAATCTGTTCTATGTAATAAAACTTATAAATAAAAATGTTGATTCACTAACATCTGCTTTATTTTAAATAGGTATTTATATAAAAATAATGACATAAATAATTATCAAATTTTTAATAAGTAATAAGTTAAACATTATTTGGAAGTAAGGAAAATATTTAAAAGGACCATGGAATTCTCACCTTTAATACTGATGACTAGGCTGATACATCCATCATTCATATTAATACCACACGCTCTCGCTCACATGTCGTAAACTGCTAGAAAATTCTCACATTACATCAAAGTAGTATCGAAATATTTTGGTAGAAAACTATTACTAATTTCATTATTTATATATATTATAAATTATAATAACACTCAATGGAAAGATGAAAGAAAAAAAAACAAAACACACAATATTTATAATAACACTCACAAAATATAACAGTCATAAATTACAATTTATTTGTTTTTAACACATAATACTATAAATGAATTGTAATTGTAATGTGATTAAGTAATTAAATAGATGAAAAGTATTTTATTTTTTATTTATTTAATTGGTTTGAATTATAAGAACAAGTTAATTAATATGACTAGGATAAATGAAAGGAAGAGAAGATGAGGRCACACCTTTGGTCAATCATTAACCATCACAATTCACATTAATTTAGTCTAAAAATAGTAGATTACATTAATTACCCCGGCGTTTCCAGTCTTGTACTTTTCCATATGTACGATGGGTTTGGTAAGGAATTGGTTGTGTTTGATATGCAACTTGGTTAAGTGCTGCAGCAAGCATTCCATTTGTTAGAACACTGCTCATATATTGCTGGTTACTAACTTGTTTATCCTGTAACATAATATTGGCACCAGTTTATTAAAATTGAAAAAGATGAACGCTATTATTAAACTTACCCTGCTTTGGTCAGATTTAGGATTTGCTTCAGATATATGCAGAGATACTCCCTTAACAATATGATCTTCATCACAAAGACTTTGGGCTACAGAGGCATCGTTAAAGGTAATAAAACCAAAGGCTCTAAATGGTTTTGGTATGAATACATCAGTGATTTCACCATACTGAGAGAAATATTTACTTAAATCTGGTTCACTAATATCTTCAGTAAGGCGGCCAACAAATATCTTATGCGGTACTTTAGAATAATATCCTTCCTATTAAAATATAACAAAAAAAAATATGTTTTCAAATCTTTGTAATATGTAATCGGAAAATTCTTTATAGAAGAATATAATGTTTTTAAATACAATATTCTAAAATATATTCTTTTTTTTAGCCTAATAACTTTTAAACATTAAACTGTAAACTATATACTAGGAAATAGTTTAAAAAAAAATAGAATCAAAACAAAATTGTAGCGAATATAGGTATAGTAAGTGTATTCTTCATAATAAATGTATTCAAGTTAATAATAATTACACTTATAAAATATTACTTTTGAGGCAGGTATTTTGACTTCAACCCATCGATTATTAACATAATGCCGCTGTCCAAGGGCTTTTGCTTGAGAACTATAATCTTCATATCGAATAAAACCAAATCCTTTAGAATTTCCAGATGCATCTCGCTTTATCTGGATATCAATTAAGTTGTAGAAAACTTTCAATTAATGCAAATTTKGCACAAATTAATACCTGAACCATGACTAGTTTTCCAAATTGTACAAAGTATTCTCGCATTTGAGTTTCTGACAATTGATAAGGTAAACCCAAAACAATCAGATCTGTACAACTCATATTGTGGTAACCTTTTGATGGTTTGCAGTCAGTATCTTCGAGTTTTCTTTTATCGCCTTTTAAGGAAAAACAATTGTAATAAATGGAAAACCTATCTACGTAGTAGTCAACTCAATCTGGACCATTATCTAATTATTAAGTAGTTAGTAGTTACACACCCTTGGGATGGACACAGTAGAACTTGTGACCAGCCCAACTGCCTTCGGGAGCGTGGAATTTACCGTCGTACAGTCTAAGTGCTCTATACGGTGAATATGAATCGAGACGGAACTTGAGACCTGTGACTCCGGGAAAGTATGCGCTCAATGTAGCTGTTGAAAGAGTACCATCGCTCTCCAATGGTATCTCCATAAAATCTTCGCCTTCGCACTCACACACCGGAATATACTTTTCTATGTTTTCCATTGTTAATATATTATTATATTATTTACAAAATATTATTTGACTAAAAGCGTCAAATTTAAGCAACCAGAACTTTTGAATACCGAATAATAGATATTAGAATATAATATTCAATACAACAATATTGTAAATTAATGTTATTGTGATATTTCGTGAATGTTTTGTCAAAARCAGTATAGTAAATAATAATTAATAACAATAATAGACAATAGTCAATAGTAAGTAATAATGTA